TGGTGTTTAGGTAAGCGAGATTTTTGCCAACACACAAGCAGTATGATACAGTCCACCGGGTCCTTATAATCTGGTAGTGTTAGACAGAATTCGACTACGACTAAACGCTGCGTCTTGATTATGGCACTTACTATGTGTCCGTTGGAAGAAATGCTTTTGCTGTTCTGGAGTTTTAAATTGTTACTACAAGCGTGGCTGACAGATACAGAAATAGACTGGGCTTGATGGAAACGATTTCAGCTCCAGCAAGAAAATAGCAGCTTCGTCACTTCTAAAACTTCCCCAGATTCACAGAATCAAGCAGACCGGTTGAGGCTGGGAGGGACCTCCGGAGGTCATCCCATCCAAGCCCCTGCTCAAGCAGGGCCACCCAGAGCTGGTTGCCCAGGACCATGGCCAGATGACATCACCAAGGATAGAGACTCCACAACCTCCCTGGGCAATCTGTGTCCGTGCTCAGTCACCCTGACAGTGGAAGAAGTCTTTCCTGATGTTCAGGGGGACCCTTCTGTGTTTCAGTTTGTGCCTGTTGCCTCTGGTCCTGGCACTGGGCACCACTGGGAAGAGCCTGGCTCTGCCCTCGCTTGGCACCCTCCCCACAGGTATTTATAGACATTTATGAGATCCCCCTGAGCCTTCTCTTCCCCTGGCTGAAGAGACCCAGCCCTCTCAGCCTTTCCTCACAGGACAGATGTTTGTGTCCCTTCATCATCTTCATGGTCTTTCACTGGATTCTCTCCATGTCTCCCCCTCTCTCTTGTTCCTGGGAGCCCAGAGCTGGATCCAGCACTCCCGCTGTGGCCTCACCAGTGCTGGAGATGCTTTGCCTAACGCAGCCCAGATACCATTCTCCTTCTTTGTGGCAAGGACACGTGGCTGGCTCGTGTTCAACTTCATGCCATCCAGGACCCCCAGGGCCTTCTTTGCAAAGCTGTTTTCCAGCTGGGTGTCCCCCCTAGCATATATTTGGGGTCAACGGGAATTTCCCTTGGCTGTCAATTAGCTATTATGGGAGAGATCTTGAATTCAGAAATGGGAGAAAACTTCAGAGACACTCTGCCTAGGGTATCACCTGGGTCAGACCTGATATAATGACCAAGAAACACAGGTTCTGTCAAAAATTCAGGGGTCAGTTTCTGACACTGCGAGCTTTACGCCCCACCGCTGGGGCTCCCTCCAGCCGCAGAAGTGGAGCAGGAGCCCCCTTCTCCCCCCCCCCCCCCCCCCCCCATGCCCCCCGAGCTGGGTAACGAGGCAGACCTGAGCTGATATTCTGGGGCAGACTGGTAGTGCTCCTGCACACAATGATGTGATTCCTTTCTGTTCCTAGAGCACGGCTCATTTAGCTTGCTGTTCAGTCTGCTGAGAAACTTCTGGTCTCAGATCATCTCTGCACAACTACATGAGAATAGCGCAGTCACCTGCTAACGAGAGCCAATTAGTGGCAGATTCACACTGTTCGGGAAAAGGGAGGCAACGGGAGTCACCCGCCTTCCCTGCTCCTCCTCAGGCAGGCGCCAGACCAGCGCTCCGGCTAATTAGCAGGGGGGCCTGCGCGGCGGCGCCACGCAGGAGCCCGGAGCCCGCGGCCAGATCGTGGCACCCGTGGGCAGCAGCCGGAGCTCGGCGGGGCTGCACCGCGCGAGGGAAACGCAGTGCGGGGTGACGCCGGCCACGCGGCCACCGGCCGAACGCGGAAAGCCCCCGGAGGGGCACACGTGGCCAAGCGGCACCCGCCACCCTGACCTACAAGACGCTTCAGAAACCTGGAGCGAGAGTCTGCCGCCAAGGACGCGCTGACAACGGCTGCGAGAGCCGGCCAAAGCGCGTGCTGGGAGAGGTCCTGCTCCTCCTCGCCGGGCACTGACCCGTGCTTTACAGCAGGGATCCTCTGGATGTCGAGCTACCTCCCCTGACGTACACAGACACCTCCGCCCGGCTGTGGCTACAGCCCTACGAACGCATCTGGAGGAGACGGAGCGGAACTGGAAACCCGAGAGAGACAATTAATTAAAAGGTTTTGTCTCCGTTTATATAATCACGGATATTGATTCACTCTTTAAAGCACTGTCTGTGCATCCCAGCCAGTGAAACATCCCCAGTGGCAGTTGGATTTGTGCCTCTCCACCCTGACAGCTGAAAGTGTTTTATATCACTGGGTAGCTCCATCAGATCTTAGAGAGTCCTGCTGAAAAGACAAAATACAGTTCTATCAGTTGATAAAGAGGGTAACGGGATTTCTGAAAATTACGCCTCTAATCCTGCCTATCCTGCAAGATCACAGTCCTTAGGAATTCGGACAACCTGTCTGATAAGCCCAGCAAATGCAGGAACAGGCAACCACCGTGAATTAACATGCACCTCACTCTCTGGCAGATGCTCTTCACAAAGGTGAGAGAAAGCCTAGTTCTGCTAAAGGTGCATGGCAAGTTTATGGTAGATGGTAACCGACGGGAGCTGTGGGAGGATTACCAAACCCCACACCTCACTGGAGGATGGAAGCAAAGGTCCAGGTGGATCCTCGGAGGCTGCTGCTGATCAAGACAAGTTATTTCAAAAATTTTGCTCTATGAAAAAAAAAAAAAAAAAAAAAAAAGAAAAGAAAAAGAAGAATCATTTCAGCAGTATCTCCTGGTCACTGTTATCCAGGAGTGACAGGAGACGATTAATCAGTCCCTCCCTACTCTAGGCACCATGAACCTTCCAACCCCAGAAGGTCTGTGGCTTTGCAGCTCCTAGTGGTGGAGAATCCCATGCCGTGAGGAAGGCAGGAGCTACCTTGTGAAGAAGGGAATCATTTGCAAAGCCTACCACAACGGAACCTTGAACATTTTGGTTGCTAAGTCCTTATGTGCATCTCGGTCAAAACCCAGTGCCCTACACGTGGCATTCAACGTCTGATGTGTGCACGTGGTCTTGGGGTACACATTCTGTTCCTCAAACAGATGCTCACATCACCGCCTCCCCGTACGTGGCCAGGCACCGAGCAGACCTAGAGGTCTAGAAGGACCTTTTCCTGAAGGTCCTTCCTGGGTGCCCAGGCAGTTCCACAGAGCACCATGACAAAGACTGAGATAGATCTGGTTACTCCAGCACAACTGATAAACAACTTCTGACTCCACAAGCCACAGCATGACACCTTCTGCCTTCGCTAAAATTACCTTGGGAAAACCACTGAGATGGTACAGGCATCTGCAGCAAGAACCGCGAGGAAAATGAGTGGAGACTTTGACACTCTAGCGCAAAACGTTAAGTCCTCAAAATTATTCAGCTACAGTTACATCTTCAGAGACTGAAACCTGCGTCGCTTCTCCAGCGTCACCGGCAACATCCCCAGAAATGCTGCTCAGGATATCTCAGCCCTGACAGCGTGCACAGACCTGAGCTGCTCCAGTGCCTTCAGGCGCCGCTCCTTCCCCTGACTCGCCAGCACATCCAAACCCTCAGGGAGCCCTGGCAGCTCCACCGAGCACAACAGATACGACTGGAGCTGCACACTGTGCTTGCTTTTTACCAAGAGTTTACTAAACCATCCAAATTCTCCATCAAAGCCACTGAGCAAGTGGATAAAAGCAGGGGACTTGGCACCCCCGTCCTCTTGCCCTCCTTACCAGTAAGTACCAGCACATCAGCCCAGACGGGGCCAGGGCCCAGACTGCCAGGGCCCACTGGGACCAGCTCGCAGCAAGGCAGTTGCAGAGATGCTGAAGTAATTAGGAAGTTCCCTCTTGCAGTGGCATAGTGCAGCCCTCTGCAACCACCTCACACTGTGTCAGCAGCCTGGGCGCCTCAGAGGGCAACGAGACCCCATTTTTTTTTGCCATGCACTTCAAATTTGGTACTGCAGTTCTGGTTGTTGCGGTGCCTACGTCCTTCAGTCCTGCTATCCCTCTGAACACGCCATACACATTGTGGACACAAGGAACAGGCTGCACACAGAGAGCTTTTCCAAACCCACCCCAGCGCATCAAGAACACAAGGAGAAGTACGTGCTCACCCCAGCAGAGATCTACAGATTTACAACTTTGCAATGCAGAGGACTTCTTTTGCAGATTCTTCATTTGCTTAACCCATTACCATTTTCATTATTTTATTAATCAGAAGCCTGCAGCTAACTCTTTGACTTACATTAGCTTTCCCCCCCTTTGGAAAATGATGGCAACTCTTGGCCAACTCACCCAAGAACAGCCTTCTTGGCCCACTTTTCTCCTTTGTGCGTTTACCAGATTCTCCAACCTGAGGCGCCCTTCTCATACACCCCTCAGCCAGAGATGTACAGCTCACTATGCTTCCGAGAAACCAGCAAAGATGATCCTGAAACTGCCTTTGTCCAGCTAAATATCTCAACTGTTGTAGATTTGTTTCAAGTCAGCACAAAGATACCAGCATTTCTATTCCAAACACGACCATCGTTACTGTGAGCTCTGTTCGGCTGGTGCCATGGCTTCCCCGGACTAATGCCCACAGATCGTTACCCTCTCTGTCCTTGCCGTTGGAAATCCAGAGCTTCCTAATGGATCCCTCCCTCACAGATCCCACAAAAACAGTTCATTTTCTGTCTGTGTGACGGTAGCTATAAGGTACTTTCCAACTCTCTCCCAAAGGTGAATTTAAATAATTTGACCAAATGACATTCACTCATTCTGCCTACATAGGTCCTTAATCACAGGAACAGTGGCTGGGAGACAGCCACGGTTGAGTCCAGAACTGCTTGGAACTGTTAAAGGATTAAAATAAGGCCAAAGAATGGAGACTCGCACAGAAGCGCGTCCCACACTGCCAACCCACAGTTCCAAATGTCCCCAGAGGGAGGAGAGGCAGCTGTCGGGGTGCAGCATGCACGGTCAGGCACACGGCAGCCGCACCACCTCCTGACCTGAACTTCAGGAAAGGCCCTTGGTGTCAGAGGACACGGGGGATGCCTCCGATCCAGAGAAGACGGCAACTTTGCACAAAATTCCCACTGCATTGGTGGAGCGCGCGGGGTATTGTCTCCTGGCTGGCCCGTAGCACTCGTTTTCCTCTCCCTGTGCAGCTGAGAGAGGAGCCATGCCAGGAGAGCAGGGGGTGCTGGAGGGAGCATCTGGGGCAGCGAGTGGGGCTGTGGCACTGGAGAAGGCCCCAGAGGTACCAAGCAGAGCACGTCCCAGAAGCATCACAGCCCCTGACAGCAAAGTCCCTGCTCAGGCATTGGCTCTGTTTAGAAAAGAGCAGCTTTGAAACTTGGACTGTAAAGCACTTTATCAAGAAAGCTGGGGCCACACCATCCTGGTTTTGAGACGTGAAAACCAGCTCCAGCCTGGGACTTGGCCTCCAGAGAACCTCCCGGTTCAGCCTGGAGCCATCGCCTTGGGCTTGCACATCACCCAGATCCAGATCTTCTGTTAGCAAATGCTTTTTCTCTAAAACTGTCATTGCGCAAAGACTGATCAAAGACAACTGCTGACCTGTGTGGGACAAGGGAAGTGATTTCTTCTCAAAAGAATGGCAGTTTGGGAATACTGATGTTTCCTCTTCCGTAACATTGTAAGGCACTCAGTCCTGAAGAATTTACCTGAATTCATTCTCCACCACATGCTGCACCTCCAGCAAGGAGGGGTGGCTCTGCTGGAGGTGCAGGATGAGGAGGTACCATGGGCAAGCCAGGCCCACCGAGACCTTGCCTGCGCCGGCCGGGAGCTGCCAGCACGCATCTCCAGAGAGATGAGAGAGACCTGGAAACAACTGTGGCCCTGCTTGATATATGGAAATTTTTTTTTTTTTTTTCCTTTTCCTTGTTTTATTTTTCATATTACTGTTTGGATACAGCAAAATAAGGAAGAACATAGAGCAGATATACACCTCAGCTGGACACGAATACAACTTGCGGTCTGTCTGAGTCCTGCAGCAGCAGTTCAGGCATTTTGCCCTATGCTGCGTTGCAAACAGACGTGCTGTCAGACACCCCCAGACCGCAGAGAGCTGGTTGGTCACCGATGTCCTGTAGACCACCCCTGCACCTCACCCCGTCCCCAGTCACTGTGTCTGCCTGAGAGACAGAGCAACAGGGCGAAGGTTGCCAGGCATACCCCAGCCCCTCCAGGCACAGGTCCTTGGTACTCAGCAGTTACATCGGCCCTTCTTCCTCGTTCCCAGACACGCAAACATCAGTGCAGTCCTGTACGTGACATCTGGGACTGGCGTGCCCAAGCACTAGTGAAGGAAAGCCCCGCTCTTGGGGCTGCTGTTCACGTCAGCAGCTTATTTCATCGCGGGGGCTGCAGGGTGAAGGGTCCTTCCCCATGGCAGGAAGGGGAAGCGGTGGCAGCAGCTCTGTCCGCAGGGACCAGCCCCTGAGCACAGCCCAGCCCGGCCAGCACTGCCCGGGGGGGGCTCTGCCGGGGACGGGGCCCCCTGGCCCCCCGGTAGCTGCTGCTGCAGGGACTCTCACGTGTGTGACACGGCCGAGGAGACTCACTGCTGAGGAAGAGTATTCATAGCTGAAATTTCCCTGGAACTCAAATTAATTTTCAATTTTGTTCCCTTGGAAGGAAGGATGTGTCTGTGTCAGATGCTAAATCAAGGGGATTCTTTGTGTAGGAAGTGTAATTGATTCCCATTTACTCCGCATCTGTATTTCTTAAAAAAGGGAGCGTGCGTGAGTCATGCGCCTGGGCAGAGCGGCTTGTTGTGACGCCTCCAGCAGACAGGCACCTGGGAAGGGGCACGTTGTCTACCCCGCCGCCAGAAATATTTTGCCACCACCAAGTCTGACTCAGGATCCAAGCAGTGACACAATTCTTGCAGATGTGGTGGCATCAGGCAGGAGGCACCCAGAGCTCCCCGCGGCAGTGGGGTGACCTTCACGCAGGACCTGAGCAGCCCCAGCCACGGCACGTGCCCAGCGCTCCAAACGTTTTCAGGAGCCAGAAGCTTCAGCTTCTGGCAAAATGATGCAAAGACAAGGCTTGCGGCAGGTGGAAATGGGACCCAGTGGCACTGGGAATGGACCCACTGGACCCACCAGGTTGTCCCTCATCCCCCAGTGCTCAGAGTGGCAGTGACTGTGCAGAAAATAAACCCACTGAGTTTTCCACCACTGGCCCTGATCAGCTGTGACCTACCAAAGGGACTGACAAGAAGCACCTGGGAGGGATCACCGTGAAGGGGTACCGTGTAGGACAGGGGTGGTGAGGCCCATTCCTTACTGCCCCTGCTCAGCAAACATGGGGCTGAACAGCAGAAGTACTCGGGGTGTCAACACAGACTGTCCAACACATTTCACCCCCAGGATAATGCAGCATCACAACTCAGGACGGGACTGCAAATTTGCAAGTGTCACCCCAGAAAAAACAAAGGAATGTCTGCTTGGGAATCTGTAGCAAACACAGCAATGACCCCTTTTGTTTAAAATGATACAGCTTGGATCTGGGACAACAAACCTGCAGGATAAACTGTACGACAGAGTCCCTGAAGGGTAGCTTTTTCACACTGAAATGGTCTGCCTGTCTACAAAACACTGTGATTCTTCAGGTAATAACTTCTCATACTTGCAGAAAATCTTTTTCCTTGATATTTAATCTCTCTATACATCAGTTTGAGAGAATAATAAAGCCATACCTGCTTTATTTTATGTTATTGATGCTTTAATTCTGCTCAAAGTGAGGCCAACTTTGCATGAAGCATGCAGTGCACATGACTATCTTTAGCTCTGCAAAGAGCACGTATGGCACATTCACAGCATTTACTTGAGCCTGACTCTACCACACTTACCCACTGAAATAATTTCACTGTTCTTACAGGAGCTGCTCCTCTGAATAGATACTACTCTTTAAGCAGGCCAGCAGATTTGTCCCATGACTTTAAAATATTCCACTAAAGCCTGGAAGATTAACTAAGCCAGGTATCCCCAAACAGTGGTAGGGGAATGCAGAAGATGCATCCAGGGAGTGTAACACTGAGCAGGGGGTGGGGTGGTAGGAGGCACCACTGCCAGCCCTGCCACGTCGTGCCGGGCTGTGCGGGGCTGCTCGGGGCTGTGCCGGCACCAGCGGGACCATTTGGGACCCCCAGGCTGGCCGAGTGTCACACAGCTGAGATTGTTCCTGTCCTCCTGGCAGAGCCCACTGACAGTGCCCAGAACTGTATTACTTACAAATTGTACACTCGTTAAAATAGCAGTGAAAATAGCTCCAGCCAGCTTTCAGCACTGCAGTTACTACCTTTTGTCAGTGGCCCAGAGCTCTGCGGGAGCGCCGTCAGCACACGTGAGACGACTCGTGAGCAAGCTCAGGGGAGAAGGCCAGGATGTTTTATGAAGCCAAGGCACAGGGTCCTGCTTGGGGAAGGTGCTGGAATGTACGATGGAGGCTGAGAGTTAAATGGCAGAATAAAGACTGTCTCACATTTCTCCCCTCGAAGGACTCTGGGCTCGCAGCTTGACAAGCGGCACACAGCACCAAGCTGGGAGAACAAGTTCTTTCCGATGAGGCTGATGTCACGGACCAGAAACAGTCAGGTCAGTTTTAGGGGACATCTCGAGGGCACAAACCAAGAAGATGGAAGAACATATTCAGGGAAGACCAAAACTGAATTCATAATGGATTTGCCTTGCCGGAGGTGTCAAAAGGTCTAGCAGCCACCACTTCAGCATGTGAGGATTCACAGAACTGATAATACACTTCAGAAAGTCGCATCCCTGACAGCGCTCAGTGGATGCATGATCCTGTCCTTTCCTTCATCTCCATGACCTTCTCCTTCCTGGCTTCATCTGTAACTGGGAAGAGTGCCTCATGGCAGGTATGCATCCCCCCTCCGCCTGGGAGATGTGCCGGGCGCTTTGCTGGTGCCCACGGAGATGAAGGCAGTTGAAGAGGAGCAGAGCTGCTGTTACAGCTCTGCTTGAGTGGTATCGTACCTACAGCAAGGCACGCTCCCCCGGACAGAGGTTAGACTCGCACCTCTCAGAAAACGTGTGTTTGAGCTAACGTGTTAATCCACTTCCCATGCACATACGTGATTTCTGTGAGTGTCTTGTGCTGTGTTCCCTGGCTTTGGGAGCGGCGAGAGGAGGTGCTCTCTGCGGGCGTACCCTGACCCTCCTGCACCCAAAGGCCGGGGAGGTCCTGGCGACATCGCAGCGGGTGCAACGGGCCCGTCCATCGACAGAGCAGCCCCGCCTGGCACTCGGGGATGATGGAGCTGCCGGTGGCTGCACCGCTCCTGCGAGGGACTTGTGGGGCTCACAGGCACCCGCTACCACGCCGTCTCCCGAGTCGCTCCCCAGTCAGGGGCTGGGACCATTAGGAGCCAGGTATCATGCACAGACTGAAGACAATTATGTCTCTCAAATGGAAAATGCTGTATGTGAACAACAGAGCGAGTCGTCCTCATACCCTGTCTCCTACACAGAGTTCTAACACCACCTCACCCTCCGGAGTCATGCCAGAAGCAGCGGACGGCGAATGTCTCCACTGCAGAGTAAAGCATGCCAAGGACAACGATCCCCACAGCCACGTGGATCTCATGGCATCTGCAGCTTCAGATGGAGAGACCACTTTTTCAAAACGAAAATGATTGCACCTTGGGGTTTCAGATTTGAGGGAGGAGAGATGGTGGTGCAGAACAGCGCCACGAGCACAACCACCACCAGCTGGACCCACAGTACTAATAAAACAGGCAGGAGCTGTGTCCTGGCCCTGAACCGGGCAGCAGACGCAGGCTCACAGCCGTGCACGCCCCCCCAGCGCAGAGTGATCGGGCACAGCCAGTCCCCAGCCCCACCACCCCGCAGGGTGCTGGCCCTGCCTGGGTGCACAATCACAGCCACGCCGGTCAGACTGTGCTCGGATCCCACTTTATTGTCTAAAATATTTGTAGCTGTTTCCAACCCATCAACAGCCAAACAGCACTCCAAGGGTTTTATCTGCGTAGAATTACAGTCAGCGTAAATACGAACGGCGGCGCACCGGGCCGCGAGCGCTCGCTCCCCACGCAGGCGGGCTGCCGGGAGCATCCGCACCCGCTGCAAACCGGCTTCTGG